GAACAAGTGCCTTACTAGTAGTAACAGGTGCCTTACTAGTAGTAACAGGTGCTTTACTAGTAGTAACAAGAAGTTTTTTTTAGAACAAGTAATAACCGGTGAACCGTCCCTCATGTCCTGGCTACGCACCCCGTCCAGGACTTCGGAGCTCATGCTCGATGTCCACGAGTTGCGGATCCGGCGCCGGCGAGCCCGTTGGCGAAAGGGTCGGTTCTCGGTGTTGGGCACAGAGGGCTGTACTGATGGCTCAAAACAGTACAGCCGCAGGTTTTTTTTTCTATGGCTGGTCAGGACTTGGCTACCCTGACTGTTGGGCAAACATGAGTTGTTTTTGCATGTTGGATTTGTGACTCACAGACTTGGAAAGGAGGCTGAGCCTCGAGTTGCACTAAGTTACTAGTCAGTTAGGGAATTGCATTGCAGTCCATGGAACATTAGAAGGAATGTGAAAGCGACTGTGACTCTGGAGAGCTTCAGATGACAGTGATGGTGTATAAACAGTGATGTGCAAAGCAATCAACGAGCATACGATGGCTAAGGCAATGTTTAAGCGCTTGCACTGGCTGGACGTGCAACGCATAGTTTCTATTGTTGAGCCTTGGCCAAGTCGAAGGCTTCGGGAAACCATTAGAGTCATTAGAGTCTGAAATGAAAGGATTCATTAACATTCATTGCCAACCGTTCTGGGTAGCAAAGGAATACCCCTCCCAGAACTGTGATTTAGTGATGTTCAGTGGTGGGAAAATGGATCACCATTCGAGGGTGAATTTGCAGGCGTTTCTCCTTGGAGCATCGCCATGTGACTTGTGCACAACGCTGCGCAACATGATTTGAGGCTCAGTTAAGAGCAAGATTGGCCACGTCCAGCGAAAAGCTTCGGAAAGCCAGGCTTCAAAAGGACTCGGGGGAGATAGTCAATGCAAATCTCATTCAAAGTCAATGATTGTTTCGGATTGGTGAGTGGCTTTTGCTAATGGCGTTTCTCCATGCTTTTCCATTGCTGCTTCGTCGGTCAAGGAGGTGGAACTGTATCGGTCCATCACCAGCGAAGCCAAAGTCTTGAAGCTCGAGCTGCGTGGACGTTGCCGAGAGCTCAATGGAGATGGCACCGTGAAGGACGCTGAGGCCGAGTGACGTTCGTTCGTTCGACGGCCGTTCGACGGCGGTTCGCGGATCTCTTCGGTTCAGTTGACGGCAAATCTGCCGGGAAGGGTGGGTAGATGTGGATAGGCAAAGAGGGCGGCTCCGCCTCGCAAGGCGGTGCTTGTCTTTTGATTTGGTTGATGTTGGCATTTGGGTTCCTAGCCTAGTGATCCTTTGGTTCATGCCCTTCATTCATGCTCGTAGCTTGCCCCCACGCCCAGTATGAGACCGTTCATGGTGCAAACAGTGGTTTCACACAGCTCCCCGCTGAGCTTGATCCTCAGCTTCCCTGCGAAATCTGCCGTAGGCCTTGCAAAAGGTGCTGAAAGGAGCAGAACAGTCCTGCCAGGGATTCTTCAGTGTGCTGGCAGAGGAGAGACAGCAGGGCAAACGACCAAGAAACAAATCAGAACGTCAGAATCTGTTTCATCGAAGGGCCAATCCTTGGAAATGTGAGGAACACTCCAGAGGTACTATGTGAAATCAAGCGATGAACCTGGAAAGGAGCTCCATGCACAAGCGCAATGGCTTCGACGACACCAAATTTGGGTTGGCCTTTCTGCGCAAACGTTCACTCTGATACGACCGGGGTGCAAACATGGCAGTGAAAGCTAGAGCGAGATACACCTGTGACTAGTCAAACAGTGTGGAAACATCTGAAGAAACACACCATTTTCCTAGAGGTTTCGCTTGATTGGTGCACATGTTTGAACCCACGATTGTTTGGGCCGGTCACAGGTGTGTTTGTGTTTGGAACCTTTTGGAACCTGGAACGACGTGACAAGAGGACCCTTGAAATTGGCAACTCCTTTGACATTGCTGAACGCAGCGATAGAAGTGGTGAAGAAGCAAGAAGTGCAGCTTATGGTCATTACAGACATGTGGCGTGGAAGCACTTCAACTGGAAGCACTTAGCCAATTTAGAAATGAGCAGGACATGTGATGCTTTCACAGATTTGCTGCCCAAGGAGACGTGCATCCATGCACATGGAAGAAAAGGCGTGATTGGCTGGTTCTATGTCCAAGCACCGGGGGGGCTTTGGGGGGGACGTCGCACGTTTTGTATGTGGTGACATTTCTCTTTGTGCCATGAAGACTGGACGTTGCAGAGCCTGAACGAAGAAAGGAAAGAAGCAAAACATTGATAAACATGGATAAAGCATGACCGTTGAGGGTAACCGCATTCAGGGGCCATCAATGGACTGATTGCTGGATTTGCTAGTGCTAGTGATGTTCCATGGGCAAGGTCAGGGGAAGGTGCTGATGTGATGTTGTGAATTGCCTGAAATGGTGCCAGTTGATCGGCTACTATTGATGCTTTTGCAAAGAAATCGGTGCAGGTTCTAAAGCTCACAGAGAGGTTCAAGCTGGCGCTGCTGTCCCGAAGACATTCCGTTCGATCGGAGGCCGGAAATCGGAGAAGCTAGCAGCTAGCAGCAATGGCCTCCAACCTAATAACAATGGCCTCTAGCAGCTAGCAGCAAAGTTGCAAGCCCGAGGATAGCGAATCCTTGGGCCACACCAGTTCCGATGAGAATGAAGAGGAAGAGGAAGAGGAAGGAGGCCTGACACATCATTTATTGAAGAACTATAGAAGAACTGGATGACTGGATAGCTGCGGGAGCTTTTGGTTTTCTGCGAGACTAGTCATGATGTAGGGGTGGCGATGTTTGAAGGATCATTTGTGTTTACAAGAGGGCAAGTAGTAACAAGAAGCTACTAGGAACAAGTGCATCGCTTCTAATTAGTAACAAGTGCCTTACTAGTAGTAACAAGAAGCTACTAGGAACAGTGTTCGTAGAAAGGGTGAATACATGAGAAAACTGCTGGTCATCAAGCATAAGATTTTTGTGAAGGACTGATGTCCTCATTACTCCTTACAGTGCATTGAGAGGATTCTCCCTTAAAATCCCTTAAACATATTTAAACATATTTCAATCCATGATTGCCGGACCAGAACCTTTCTTATCTCTTTTTGTGACCTCATGCTTTGTAAAGACCTTTTTGTAAATTGGAAGGCCATCTCTCAAAAGGGTCTTTGCCCATATATGTGAAATCTGGTTCTGATCCTTTTTGAATGACACTGCACAAAAAATCTGCGTTTCAGAGGCATGGATGCAGCCAAGCTGCGACAGATTCTGGAACATCAGCAACATGGAGACCTCTTGGAGTCTGAGACTACGAGTGACGAGGCTGAGCATGTTGCCCCTTCCGGAGGCCCGGTGTTTGAGCTTTGTCGTGCGCGGCGGTTCCAGCTGTGCCTTCGTGGCCGAGGCTCTGTTGAAGATGCGCTCTTACACCTACAAGAGCTTTCTGGTGTAGAGGTGGATGTTTGGAGAACCTACCAAGAATGGAAGTTGTTGAGACATGTTGAAACATGGTCAATGCCCAAATTGTTGTCTTTGCAGGATCAGCTGCACCGAGCCTTAGCACACTTGCTTCACAAGCTGCACGGCATCTTGGCGCTAGCCACTTTAAGCTACTAGGTTGGAGGCCATCGCTGTTAGGTTTTGGAGTCCATTGCAATTATTAGTTGTTGGAAGCCATCGCTACTAGCTACTTAAGCTATATACTAGTTGTTGTGCATCACGCGATGATGTCCCTTGTCAGCACTCCATCGGTCACAGTGCTCCATGTGACAGGCACCCCTAAAATGGAGGAAGTCCACGATTTGCTCAAAACAAAAGTGCAAGAGCTCAGTGAAGCTTGGCATTTGGCAGTGACGATTACGGCCCATTGTGTGCTTGGGGCTTAGCGACCGAAAGATCGGGTTTCGGAACACGGCGCTGTTCTGAACACTTGGTGCTGCCGAATGCATCAAAATCGGACTGCATCGGCCAGCGCAAGAGAAGCACTTCACTCAGGCCTCATGTGGACTCCAGGGGAAGTACCACTTGGAAGGCACAGATGTTGAGCATCGGATCGCTGGTATTTGGGGTCATCCTATCATCCTTAACCCCCTCTCTCAGTCATGGATTTATTGGGCTGTCGCTGTGTCACAGCTTGCTCTACCGTCCCATTCCCCCATGGAATCCCATGCGCTTGATGAGAAGTGAGATGAGGCACAGGTTTCCTACTTCCTCATGCAACCCGACCGGCAGCTTTGCCATTCTTGGCCGAATTGTTGAAACTCCCTTTTTCCCAAACAGTTGGCGTTGCTGTTCTGAAGCGTCGTTGGTAAACGTCTTTGGCATCGCCTTTGTGCAGATTCGGGAGCAGCGGTTTGCGTGGCTGGTCCCATTGGTGCATCAGCTGGCCCAACGCTGTGGGGAGCTGCGAGCTGTTGGAGAGGTTCTTTGGCAACCATGTTTTGCAAGGGGCACAGTAATTGCAATGTCGAGGTGTTTACCTGTTTACCTGCTTGGGTTGGTGTCAAGGGACACATTTTGCACCATGTCATTAGTTTGAGGTGCTTTGGGCGGAAGCAGTAGCACATGGCGGTCCGCAGAGATTGGAGGCATCCATGTCCTGATGTTCACAACGGTTGCGTGCAGATCAACGGCCGCCGCTAAGGCGCTGGAGAAGATCAAAGCCGTTCTTCGAAGCTTGGCACCCTTCCCCAAGCAAATCATCCAGGTGTCGTTTTGACTTGTGTTCGGAGCCTTTGTTAGGTGTTTGTTTCGGCAAAGTCTTCGGTCAGGCGGGTGAGGAATCCATGACGCGAGTGCAGAAGGCACACGTGCGGAAGCGGGCGGCAAGGGGGCGGCAGGTTAGGTGGATTCAAAAAATGATGTGCGATAGGAACGTACTTGGGGCTAGACACTGTGAGGAGTACACAATTATAATGAATGATAAAATTATCTCTCTCCAGGTGGTGATATAGATTGTACTGTATATTTGTATGTGCTGTCACTTAGAAATAACAGGGATATGTTTTTGTCCCCCAGCAGTTTTCAGCAACTGCGACCTTCGACGTTCGCTGCTTTTCTGCCTCGGACCGCTGCCAAGGGGCTCCGCGAGAAGCTGCACATCATGGCCGCTGCCAAGGGCGCCCTCGCCCCTTGGAGAAAAAAGACACTGATTTAGAAGAAAGGTCCTTGGGGAAAAAATGAAAAAAGATAAATTCATAGTATAGTTAATTAAACATAGATAAAAGGCCGAAAGGCTCGAGGTCTAAGGAAGAAACACAAAGACGTAACACGTATAGAGCCCTCGCCCCTTGGAGCTAAAAGACCTTTTTCAGGTTAGCGCTGGGTAGTGGGTTGATCAAGGAATGGTAGAGTAGCGTGCAGGCATTTGGGCGGGAGATCCGCGAAGTGAGTGTGAAAGTGTGTGTGTGGAAGTGTGTGTGTGTGTGTCAGGCAACAGCAGCTACTAGTAACTTAAGTGCATCATCGCTACGAACGTAGCTTCTTGTTACTAGTAGTAATGTCCTTGCAACAAGTAAGCGATGCACTTGTTACTCGCGGCTTCCATTATGTGTGTGACAAGATGTTTTGCGGAACATTTGAATGAACCAATCCCCAGGGGCAAGATGGGGCAAGCGTCACCGGGATGCGTTCTGAGGAGCATCTCAGCAGCCTGCCAGATGCCAATGTTGCACCTTCCGAAGGTGTGGCCGAGGCAGTGGAATTCCAGATATTTCCAGCAAGCAGAACTGCTTTCTGTCAATTCATGTAAATTCTTTTGATCTATGGACTCTGTGACCCGGTCCTGTTTGCCAATGAATTTGGTTTTGACTTTGGTCTCCTGTCGGCACTGGCCACGCTTTGGTTTTCCGTCAGATGCTGCCTTTGGGTCCATCGTCCCACACCTTCCTGACGGCAGTGAAGGCGGCGGTGAAGTGGTTTCAACAGATCCACAGACTCCACTCATAGGATGTGCAAGTCGATCTACAAAGCAGATAACAAGCAGAATATGTAAAAAAACATAGAATGGAACTAAGCGTGGAAGTATAAAAGAGAAAACAAGAGAATACGTGCAGCCTGCAGGCATTGATGAAATTCTTGACCAGCGATGCTTTGGACTCTTGGCAGCGCGGTGTGACGGCGGTGTGATAGGATGGAGAGTCGACTGACTCCTTTGACTCACCGCTGGAGTGGCTGAGCGATGCCCTTTGGTCCTAGTAGCGTCCTTGTTCCTAGTAGCGATGCCCGGATTCCTAGTAGCTTCTTGCTCCTAGTAGTAATGCCAGGAGCCCCATTCGTAGCGTCCTTGCTCCTAGTAGCGATGCCTTTTGCCCAGGCCGATGCCAAAGTCTTCGACCGCTTAACAGGGCCTGAGATTCTGGGTGTTTTGTCCCAAGCCGTGACAGGTCACTTTGCCACACTAAAGGTGTCGGTTTGTGACACGTCGCTAGAAATATCCGGAACAGAAGCAACATCATGGCATCACGCTTTTTCTGACAGGTGATATGAAGCATGCTTTGCCAGAGTGCTTTCGTGCGGCGATGCTGTCCCTTGCTGATCTGGGCAACCTGATTGAGGAGCTTGCTTGCTTGTTTGGGTGGTTGATCACTGCTATTTTTTAAGCCTTTAATATACATGAGCAACCGCCAAGACGTGCAATGACTAATTTAGTAAAGAGTGGTCAGGAATCTCAGGAATTGAACTAAAACCTGCAAAAGCGATAGGCCCCCTCAAAAGCGATAACCTTGCTGAATCATGTCCTTTGCTTATGTTTGCTTGACAGTATGTTTTGGCAGACGTCCAGACATACATTAAATTATGCGTATATATATATATATATTTTTATACATAACTCACTGTACATATTCTTTGACAGTCAGTGCTTTGCTAGGTACATACTTGGTATTCCGATATTTTTCGAGCTGTTCATTCTACATGTGTGTCAGCATGTAGAAACGATGGATGAGCATACGGGGAGTCATACTGTGTCCATGTGCACTCGATTCTTTAGAGTGCTGCGTGTTCTGTTGGATGATCACTTAAGAAACCGTTTTTGGTTACTTGAGTCCATACAATTCCATATCACATGTGTGCCAGGAGTATGAGCCGCAGCCAGTGCCAGGCCGTATTTGCCACGAGCTCGTGCGTTGTGGCACATCGATCGATCGCCAGGTGAAGATGTGAGTCTCGTCGATGCCAGTCTCATCGCAGCTCGCTTAACCGAGATCCGCTGGTCCTGATGCGGTTCGGTTTGGGAGTTCCAGCTTCGGGTTGGTCCTTCTGGCATGCGGCATACCACTGAATGTCAGATGATTAGGAGGGGATAGACAATGTTTCAGGCATCCAACAGAAACAAGCAGGAGCAGTGCTGATGCCTTGGATCATTTGTGAACCAAGGCTCAAAAAGGCAAAAAGACTGGGATTCATCATCAGGCGCCAATATTGATTGAAACAGTTTGAAACGACAAAGAACTGCCAGGTAGGTGATGTCATCTATGTGAGTTGCATTTCACAGAAGCAGGCTCCCTGACCATTGCTTGCTTGAAAATCATGAGAGTAGTGGGAGGAGCGTTGGAAAGCCTTGGCCGCAGGGGCGCGGCGTCGTAACCTTGCTGCACCAGAAATTGGAGCGGACTCTTCTTTTCGTCCTTTCTTTGCAATATTTTTCATTTATGTAAGCTTCGGTTGCTTGAATACGCTTTAATGTGTTCCTTTGCAGCTTGTGCAGGCATCGAATCCGGCACTCCCTTGCCAGACTCTAGATCTGACCCTCGGTCCAACAGCTGATGTGAGTCATTTGAGTCAGAGTGTTGGACCAAAAAAGAACATGAGCCACCGCTGGCCATGTTGATTTGAGCGATTTGGGCTCTACAATGTCGCATTTGTGTTGGGCTTTGTGTGGTGTTTTTGCGAACACGGTCATTCACGTGCCTTCAGGGCTCCTTCCAGTTGGGGAACTCCCGCCCATTGCAGCAACCTCAGGTTGAAGAAATTCTTGTGCTCATGATGCACATGTCAAAGTGCCCAAGTGTGTTCTCTACCTCCCCTTACACCCACTTGGGTTTGGCAGAATCATGGAAAATCCTGGAAAACTGAGGTTCAGCAGGGAAAGATCACAAACGGCAGAGTCTTCAAGGCTACTCCCTCCGTGCTTGATGTCATGAAGTCAAGCTCGTCAAAGGCTTTTCATTGCGAAAGCCGATGTGACGCGTTCATACCTCCACATCCCTAGTCACCAAAAATGAATGTTTCAATGGCTCTCGTCCATAGGCAAATGCTAGTAGGTTGGAGGCCATCGCTCTTATTTGGCTTTGTCTCAACAATGAGGGGCTCCGCCGTTGCTTTAGAGTCTTCCGCCGTTCATAGGGTTCGGCGTCCACGTTGCCATGAGGCCGTGGACTTCAACGCCTCAACGACCGTCCACAGAAGGGTCAACCAGGCATGGGAAGATGAAACTCCTCCATGTGCAGTCCAACTAGAGTCTATAGAGCGTAATCTTGGTGCTTTAACAGCCAATAACTATGATTCCAGCTTCTGTTCCCCAGGTTGCCATCAAGGCAGCAGGCCGACCTCACGTCCTTGGAATCTTGAGCTAATTAATTCATGTGGTCATTTGTTCTACAGAATTGGCTGAATCAGATTGAAACGGTCGAGTTTGGGGTGAATCAGATGCGCAGCTCAGATGTCAAGCAACGCATGACGTGTCGACGCATTCTTCACTGAGGAGCGTGGGCGTCAAGAACAGCCGTTCCTTGGCGCTCCAAAGCTGAGAGTCGATGTAAACAACATGAAACGAGCAAACCTATCGGGAAATGGGGGCGGAGAGAAGATGTGCCAAAAATGAGAGAAAGACCTTTAGCAAGAGAAGAATCAAAGCAAGCAGCTTCAAAGATTGGCAAAGCCCCGTGGATTCTGCTCATTGCTTCAGGCCATCGCCGCTGGGGTTGCAGGCAGCTCGGTGTGTAAACTTAGAGTGATTCATTTCAGCACTTCAGCAGTTCTGCAGGAAGTGCCTTTGGACCAGCAGAATTTGGAGTTCGAGCTGGAAAAGCAGCGAAGCTTGGAAGGCATGAAGCCATATGAAGCCATATGAAGCCATGAACCATGGAGAAAGCGTCATGCCATCATGCGAATCATCATGCATTCCATCACTAAGGACTAGAGCAGGCTCAAAAGGTGGGGGTCCACCCCTAGCTGGATCGAAGTGGGATATCGAGAGACGACTTCAACGTCATCTCCAGGACCAAGAGTTGAGCGAGCGTGCCGTGCCAGGAACAAGAAGAGGACCTTCGAAGGCTTCAAAGTGAGGAGCAGGACCTCGATGATTTTGAATCACGATCTTTGGTAGATTGGTAGATGTACGCAGTGTGCGGAGTACTGTGTACGGTGTGGGTATGTCGCATGGTTTCAGCGACGTTTCGTTCGGTTCAGGAAGCCGCGCAGCGTGTGGACGTCTTGCGGAGAACCATCTCCAAACTGAGTCAAGGCTCAGACGCTTGGTGTCTTGGCGATGGACGTCACGGTGAGTCGTGAGATGTCGTGAGTCGCGACCGACTTGGGTATTTTGGTGGAACTCTCTCGTTGGCCGCACTAAGGCGTGTGGGAGAAGTCTTGGAAGAGTTGGAGCCACTTGGAGAAAGAGAGATGGAAGAGGGCAAAGTAAAGGTGTACAGTACTGTACAGTTGCATCATAAGATCCGTAGTCACCAGCCATTCCTGTGCTGTTGGACCTGTAGATGCTACCAAGATGTCCGATGACAATCAATAGCAACTAACTATTACTATATATATAGTTAATTATAGTTATATAATGTCCACTGTAGTTGATTAGAATGTCACGGCCTTTGCTTCCATTTGGGAGGGCACTTTCTTGCAACCAGTTGAGGAAAATGGAAGAAGCTCGAAAGACAATTCAAGCTACGCTTGACGAGTGTCAGCAAGTCACAGAGCTTCTGCAGGACTAGCAGTGACTAATGTGGCAGCGAAGGCCCAAGGGATGGTTTACAAGAAATTATGGACTTAAAATTAGGAGCAAGGACGCTACTAGGGGCTCCTGGCATCGCTACTAGGAACAAGTGCCTTACTACTAGTAACAAGAAGCTAGTAGAAACAAGAAACTACGAAGCTAGTAAATGATCCTTTGTGTTGGAAGAGCTCTCGAATGTCACAGGAGCAGCAGAAGGATGTCCAAGAGCGTCAGTCGCTGCATCATGAACGCACCAGAATTATGCACTCTCACAGTATGCTGTGCCGCCCCTACAGACTTTCAGCGCATAGACCAAGTGCCTGGATTGTGACGTGACCTGCTGCGTCAATTGTTTTCCAGAAAGGCCGGTCCAAGAGAAGACTCGGAAGGCCAAGTCTTTGCAATGGCAACGATCTCTCAACAGATTGTCGGAGCTATGGCAGCAAGAACCGGTGCCCCAATACCTCAATACCTATTTGGAGGGCATAGCTTCTTATTGGAATTTCGCTTCTCCGGGTCAGACCCGGCTTCAACGGCTTCTGTTCCTGTTGTTCATATTGTTTTGTATTGCAAAATGCATCGCTTCTCTTTGTGGTTTCTCATGCTTTTCTTGCTTTTACTCCTTTTTTTTTGTGCTTGTCTTGCTTTTCATTGCGTCTTTGTGGTTTCTCCTGCTGTTCTACTGTTTTCGTACTTCCCTGCTACTTGGCTTTTTATGGCGTATTGTTTCCTGCTTATATATTATTGTTTTGCTTTCCACAGCCTTTGTTGCCATTACCATTGCTTCTATTTGTTGCTTTCAATCCTTCAGTTTGTGTTTCTTTGGTTTCTCTGGCGTTCTATACGTTTCCCACTTCTTTTGTTTTTGAGTTTTTTCCACCTCTACGAGGAAACGTTCATACCATTTGCTGGATTATGTGGTGAGTTGTGCTCAGGACATTCAAAGCAAGATGAAGCTTGGATTCACCTGCAGTTTGACCGTTCTATGATTCTGTGCAAGTGTGACCGTTATATGCATTCTTTTATTGAGGGAGCAGCTGGACAGGGAGATCTCCATTAAGCAAGGGGCCGCCAGCAACCTTGAGGCGAAGGTTCTTGAGTCGAGCCTCAGAATTCTGCTTTCACTTCTGACAGTCTCAAGTCCGTCTGACGTGGAAAACGTTGACGTATCGTCCAAGGCGTCAGAAGTCTAAGATGGCACTTGAGACTGGAAGGCCTCACCTTTGGAGCTGCATCCGAATCTCTAATGTAGACTCTTACTTAATAGACCCACCCCAATTGGATTGAAAAACCTCTTGCTATGGGGGGTTTTATTAATCAAGAGTCTCCATTCGTGACGAACGTGAAGAGCTATGGCGTTCATAGTTTAAGCTGTGCAGATCGGGTCCAACTGCGGAAACTACCCCAGCGCCCAAGATCCTCACAGAACAGGCACTGGTGCAGCTTCAAACACATTGGATTGCTCAACCAGTCGGCTTTGGGACAACTAAAGTGGCTGTTGCCATAGTGTGCCCCCCCTCTCCAGCACAGCAAATTCAAGTCAAAGACAGTGCCACTGGATTTTGATCGTGGCTCCTCATGGGTTAGAAACACACGGCCCCAGGAAGCAATGGCTATCTATGCGTCGCGGGTGGCCATGCGATCACTGTGGAAGGTTCAAGGCTACAAGCTGATGCAGGCGCTTTTGGGGTAAACAATTTAAGTGTCATAAGCTGAGCCCATTCTTTCCAATCAATCCAAGAAAAGGTCTAAGAACCTACAGAGCAGGTGTTTTCATTGAGTGTCTGGAAGGCACAAAGAGCCGCCAAGATGTATTGCCAACACCTTCTAAAGCTAGAGGCGATGCTCGGGTGGAAGGGCTGGATTTAAATGCATATGTTTTTGCATGTAGAGCTCGCACCGCAGAGTTTTTGGATTGTGTGTGTGCATGACCAAACTGCAAACCAGGTCTACCAGGACTTGCATTTTTAACAACGGGATTCCTTGCCTTGATGGATCTCCATGTGAAGACTCAACAGTTTGTAGCTTTGCAGGAGGGTCCACGAGTGGTTTTTGAGTTGGAAGGCGGTGAGAAGCGAGGCCCAGTGGGGAGAGTGTACAGCGTTGCGCAATACCAATTAGTAGTATGGCCAGGAGCCCCTAGTAGCGTTCTAATTTTGAGTTCCGTCTTTCTTTGACAAAGTGCTGAACGAGGTGCATCTTCGAAGAAGCGTGGCTCTCAACTTCGCCGTTCCGTCATAGCCCCGGCTTGGCTGAGCATAGGACTTCTCGCAAAGACAGACAGGAATCATGTTATCATATGTTATCACTGTTGCACAGGCCACAAAAGTCGGCAGCAGAAGGGCATCCTCCACCAAGTCGGGCAGGAGAGGGCACCTGTTTACATGCATGATCATGCATGTTTTTTTGCAGCTAGTGCTTGTACGAAAGTGTTATGATATGTTATGATTATTGGCAATTTGGACTTTGAAGCGACTTCTTGGCACAGCGACTTCTCGACAGTATCTCCCCAAGCCCAAAGTCATCAACTACTACATCAAGAGCGTCATTGAAGAGAGTTTCCTGGATGAACATGTTGACATGATGATCATTCTTTAGCCCTCAAACTGTTGCTATTTACAAGACTGTGCCGAGTGCGATGGCTGGCGAAAGCCACGGCTTTGCCAAGGGATCGTTGCAAAAACGTCCTGGGAAAGATGGTACCAAGTCAGAGGCGGGACAACTCTGCTCAGGTTCGGGGTAAGAACTTTAGCTGGACGACGTGCAGAGTGAGTTGAACACAACTCCTCCCACACTTGGACACCACAACTAGGACAAAACGGTTCCTGATCTTTTTACAAAATAAGCCAAGTGGTGCATCATATTGTGTTGTTTTTTTTCTCCACCAGATACTGCGGATCCAAACTCACCAGGAGCAGACCATGTATGTTGGCCGAGCGAAGTCAAAGATCACCCGCTCGCAACTAGACCAAAACCCAAATGACGCAAACTTGTGGAGTCTAGTTGGCTATGGCTATTAGGTTGGAGACCATCGCTGAATCGCTTCTAGGCGATCGCAAGTATAGGTTGAAGTCCGAGAAAGAAACTGCAGTATGTTGCTTGCATCCGAGGTTGACTCATGGCAAACCTGGCAAAAGTTTCGAAACTGGGGTGGCGTTCTTGCTTGCTGGTTGTTCCTTTTCTGTGGGGGGGGCGCAATGTGCATGGCTCGGCCCAGAGCTAGGTCAGCCAAAACTGACACGGGATGCCACCCGCCGATTGTCTAGGGCCTCTATTGAATCCAGGCTTGGATGTACACTTCAGGCTTGTGACATGAATCATCATGAATCTTTTGCCCAATGCATTGAGGGCAACCCCTGAAGTAATTTTGGAGGAGCCATTTACCAAGGACATTCATGTATACATGACAGTTGCATCGATAGTTTGCTTGGGGCGGCTGCGTGAACCGTATCACTGCTGAATTTGCTTCTTTTGCATTGCCAAGTCCGCCCACTGGTCTCAGGGCGGACTCGGTGGAAGCGGCTGCTTTGATGGAGTCCATCACCGTTCGACGCGATGGCCGCGCGACCACCGTGCCCGTGGGGCGCCCGATCCACTGGGTCCGGCTGCACGCGGCGTCGTTTGGCGGCGTTTGAGGTGATCAACGTCCGTTCTGCGTCTCCGGCGTCGGCCAGCAGCTACACCAGCGAGTGAGCATGGCAGCATCCAGAATGGCCAGGGAATACGGTAGACAATGGTGCTGATGGTGCAAGCATGTGAACTCCGCTGGCCAGCGGTCCGTATTGTTTCTAAGGGAATCAGAGGAGGCTGCTTGGCTAGCATTGTTGAAACCGGAAGTCCTTGCCAAGAGAGTCGCCAAACAAGATAGCAAAGACTGTTAAGCTCCAGGAAGATGTTGAGCTGCCTGATGTACCAGTCCTGCTCTTGGTCCGGTGTTTTTACCTTGAAAACCGCAGTTTCACTCCTTTTCTTCTTTGGAAATCGCGACGGCTCGCTGACTGACCAAAACAAGGGGCGTTCCGACTCGTGAGGCCATCGGTCGCAGAGCAAACATAATGACTGACCTGTTGGAGACGAAGGTTCGGTATGTGGTGAACCCCGCCCACGGTCGGATCCGGTGCAGACAGACACAACACGGCACCATGGCACCCCCGCGCCGTGCACGGAGGCCTTAAGAAGTAATGTCCAAGCGTCTTTAGGCGAGCAGGACTGGAGAAGCCCGTCAACATGGAGTTGTTCATGGCAACATGTTGCGAAAAGTTGAATGATGTTGATGTTGAATGTCTTTGAAGCATGGGAGAGCCTCGACAGCGAAGTTGGAGCTTTCGACTATTGGTCTGTTTAGCAGCTTGTGAGAAGAGAGGGGTGGGTGACAAGCGCGGATTCAGCAGGGTGTTGGGCTTTCATGATTTAGTCATCACCCGTCTCAGTGGACCTTTAGATGTGTGCCCTTGAAAATAGCATCGAATAAGAGAAGAACACATGATCAAAACTTCGTCAGTAGAAAAGCCAGACATCCGAGCTCCAAGTTTGACGTGAGGAGCTGGAGCAGAGCACCCAGTGGGCTGATGATTGGATCCGACGCAAAAGCATGCAAGGGCCGCAAGGGGAAGATGCACAGGACGACTGATGGCCAGCCAGAGTGGGAATAGGTTGGTCAGGTTTGGGTTTTTGTTGGAAGTGTCTTGTTTATTTTTCCTTTTTCTGTTGTGTCTTGCTGTCCTCAGCCCGCCTTTAAATGCAGCAAGACCTGTAAGCAGAAGGGCAGAGAGAGAGAGAGAGAGGGAGGGAGCCTAATAGCAATGGCCTCATACACTATACACTGCTCCATGATCATCATCATTTCAGGATGTTGGCGTGCTGGATGGACGACATCTCCTACGGCGCACTGGCTTCTTGCTTAACCGGTCAAAAGGGAGATGGTTCCATGCAGGAACAGATTAGAAACCTGCAAAGTCAGCTTGATGGTACATTAAGCGACAAGGCAAATCTAAGGCTTTAAGGTCAGGTTAAGCTTATCAAAAGTTCAAACCTACAGATCTCAGGATGCTCAGCCAATGCTCAGCCGCTCTTTGAGGTCTGTCAGAAATCACTCCCCTTGTGGCCGATGAAGCTTTGGGCATTGACGGCTTGGACGTCAGTGACAGCGAAGACGAGGCCTTGACATCGGCCTTCGGCGGAAGGGAGATGAAGGGAGATGGAAGGGGGTATGTGGGCGATGGACGGGTTTAAGAGTCCAAGATTGACGGGTAATGCAGGTAGGTTGACAGGTAGGCAGGCCACGCATGGTCTTCAAGTGCAAAAAGGGGCGACGTTTAAAGCGTTTGACAGGAAGTCTTGCAGCGAAAACCGGAGTCTTTGTTGGAGCTGTGGCCCTAGATTGGGGCGTGGAGCGGAGGGGTGGAGAGGAACCAGGGGATAGCAGAGGAGCTGAAAGCAGCCACTGGGATGGGGCGACGTTCGCTTCACCTTGGAATAAGGCATTTGCGGAAGAACTCCATGATGGCGCCTCAAGCACCCCAGGCAGAGTAGGAGGGCGGGCTGGGGGTTGTCCAACATCCAAAGGGACCTGGGGCATAACGTTAATACTTTTCCGAGCCATTCTACATCCATCATTCATTCGCAACTCAACCCGGGGCCCACGGGTCTGAGTACTTTGACTCTGGTCGCATGATTTGGGGGTGAGCACATCTCGGAGGTCGTTAAACTACGCTCGTCATGGGCCATTGCCCATGAACTACATGGCCCATAGCTCTCATAAGGCCTGATGGCCCCTAGCCATCCCTAGCCCCTAGCCTAACTCACAAGAATGCGTTCTTGTGCGTGATGGTTGGATGTTTTTGGTGGGGATCTTGGTCTTGCTCCACGATAGGTCAAGCCGAAGAAGCCTGGTTGGACGCCAAGTTGTGGAGGGGAACTTCGTTGAAATTCTTGCACTCGGCCTGTGCAATGCTGCAATGATGGTGTCCAAAGAGAGAGGTGACTGAGTGAAAGATTCAATCTTCAAGAGTTCTTCATGTTTCATGCATCCTGGCCTGTCAAGTATATTATATATGACCAATTCACACCAACCCACCGATTTTGCATCACACTGCTACGTACGTACTATTTCTTGATCTCAGAGCCCTTCTTGTGGCCGTCATGTGCTTTTTGAATCTTTTTGAAGAATAACACAGTGAAATGCCGGGGCTTGTTCTCACAAACACTGTTCTTCCGCATCCAGCACGACTGGCACAATGGCATACAGGCCTTTGCCCACTTTTTTCTTCGATTGCTCCACTCGATGTTCAGATGCCAGTACGATACAGTATTATCAATTTCGCTTTGGATGCAGTGCGTTCTCGAGGGCTCCGAGGTTCTTCTTCCCGAAAGTCGTGCGTTCTGGCCGGTTCGAGCACCAAGGCCTTCCAGGTCGAGCTGTCCAGCTGGGCATGCCCTTGCCACTTGGCATCACTTGGCACGTCTCGAAACGTCTTTTTTTGCAGAAACCGGAGGAGGCCATCGCTACTAGATTCCGTTTGCTTTTAGGTTGGAGGCCCTTGCTCTTAGGTTGGAGGCCGCTAGTAGGTTGGAGGCCATCGCTATTAGGTTCCTTGTGCTTTTAGGTTGCAGGTCATTGCTCTTAGTTTGGAGGCCGCTAGTAGGTTGG